CATTTCCAGGTTAACTAATTTCAATGAGATTATGATAAATTTATTTACTTGCACTTCAATTTCTTATATGAAATTTACTTTTGCACATTACGCTAATACTGGAATTTGAAAGGGGTAGACATGTTTTTTATTTGTTTACATTTAGAAAGTTCATGAAGTAATGATTTGCTTAGATTTGTTTGCCCGTGTCACTATGACTTCTTAGAATACATGATTTTATTTTAAAGTGTTGGGAATTCGTTATGTATTAATAGAAACAGTTTTGTGTGTGTCTTATAGCAGGGAATTTTGGCAGATGGTCATTAAGGCGGGCATTATTATTAGAAAACCATAGTACCTATGACCGCCATAGCGGAGCCGAGCAGCATGAGTAGCAGGCCGGCGGAGAGTGCGCGGCACGCGTGCCACAGGCACTGCGAGCTCATCTTGCCGCGGACCACCTGCAAAATGCCAACATGTAACGTGTCTACTCTTACGTACAACTATATTATGTAGGTCAGCTGTGTGTACGTCACATTTAAGAAAGATTCTCTTTTTTAACAAGCTTGTATCGAATTCGTTATTCGTTCGTTCTTCCGAGCTTTACACAACAACAGCCAATTTTGTGCTTACTATAGGTATGTGTGAAACTATAAAAACGTTCTGGAATCTGAGACACATTTTGGTGTCACGTGGTCAAGTGTCATAACACGCGCCGACGAAATGTGTAAACAAGTCATAATAACTTTTATTACATAACATTATTATAGTACATACTCACCGAGTATTTTCTTATAATTAGTCTCTAATTGGCATTTATCTTACTATGTTACTAGGTGCTATGTTAAAATATATGTAAGTGTTCGCGGTAAAGGAGGTTCCCTGTACACTCGATCCAAGTTATCGAATATTCGCAGGGGAGGGGGAAGAGTACATAAATATCCGATTAAATTTCCATTCATCCGTCACTTACGCGGATGATAATAGTTTTAATGTATTCATCGAAGCGAGTTGCGTGCGCAACAAGTCCTCAGCCAACTGTTGAGTGAGCTTTCAACGGCCACTTAAAACATCATCTATTTTTTTGTTTAAACTATGTATTAATTGATTGCTGTCATAGACGTTTTCTTGGAAATGAAATAAAAGAGTCGCAAGTTAATGACAACTG